TCTATTTCAATTGTTAACAACATTTGATGGAGGGACCATCTTGTAACAAAATTTAAAATGTAAAGACCAAAATGTTCAAATTAAAATTACGATAACTGAAATGACACTTCACTTAAATTACAGAGACCAATGATTTAATTTACAATTTAATTAAAAAAAATTCTCTCTTTTGTAAGAGATAATTGGACAAGTATTCTAACATGAATAATGTAGAGTAGTAGTCTAAAAACACTAAATAATGGAAAATTTAAAATAAAAAACAAATGGTTTAGATTATTATAATGAAACTTGTAATGCACTCTATGTGTTCGAACAATACTCTTCAATACATATCGATGACTAAATTTTTTATTTTTTATTATTTTTGTGAAGATTTGTCTGAAAATCATAAAAAATAAAAAAATATATAAAATTTAATTTAATTTGCCAACCAGTAGCCTTGGATCTTCCGTGGAATGAAGATAGGGAAAGTGGTAATGTTTAGTGGATAAAATTAACTTAAATTGGTAGTTTTTCTATTTTGTCTCATATATTATTTTGATTCATACATTTTTAATTGATTTGATTTAAATTTTTATATTAATTTGATTCAATTAATAACATCAATTAGTGTTTTTGAAGTAAAATCGTTAATCATATGATTGAGATTGACTCACTTACTTAAGAAAGTGGCAAATATCATTTTGGGTTTATCCATAATTTTATTTGCAATAAAAAAGTTTAATTTATCTGTGTCCTGACCCAAGTTTTGGGACATGGATTCTGTCTACATCGGCCTATCTACACAGAATTTGAATTTACAAACGAACACAGAGATTGGTGCAACTAATAATTAATCAAAATTTGAATTCACAAACAAACACAAATGCATATAATAACCAAAATTTGAATACACAAAATCCTAACCCTAATTTGTGAAATCGTATTCAATTCAAAACCCTACAATCGGGTTAGGGCTAGGGCTAGGGCTAGGGCTAGGGCTAGGGCTAGGTTTCAATCTGTGAATTCAAAACCAGAATTTCAATTCGCAGAATCCTATTGGTATTAAAATGGTATCAATTCTAGCGTATCAATTTAAAATGGTATTAAAATGGTATCAATTCACAAAACAATTTGAATTCACAAAACTTTTCTTGAATTCACAAAACCCCCAATTTGAATTCACAAACTATTCTATGTACCTACATTTACATTTTCACAAACAAAATCAACATAAAAAAAAAAAAATCAAACTAAGTGTGTGTGTGTGTGTGTGTAAGAGAGAAAGAGAGATAGAGAGAGAGAGAGAGAAAGAGAGAGAGAGAAAGAGAGAGCAGTGCCCACGAAGAGAGAGAGAGGGAGCAGAGATCAACAGAGAGAGGGAGAGCTAGTTCGGGCTGTGGAGGAAAAAAAGATAAGTGTATAAAAAGCATGGTTGCAAATGAGAGGGGGTGGGCCATTTTGTATGACTTTTAAAAGCGTGGTTACGAACCACGCTTTCTTTTAAAAGTACATGTTTTTTAAAAGTGTAGTTATAAATCACGCTTTCTTTTGAAAGTGTGTTTCAAGATCGCACTTTCACTTAAGCTGAAAACGCTAATTGGAATAGTGTTTTATTAATTAAAAGCGTGTTTTGTAACCACGCTTTTATGATTTTACTTATTTTGTCCGCCTGAGCCAGAAACATTCTAAAAGCGTGTTTTGTAAACACGCTTCAGCCTATTCTAGAAAATTCAGCCAAACTAGGCTTAGTTTGGGAAATAACTTAGTAGGGAGGCTTAATTTGGGAAAAGCCTCACATTCTTCATGTACCTATTATTTGAAAGGTTTTTCTAAGTTCATAGATCTTGGGAGCATCTATTTACACACACCAAATACCCTCTTTGCACATCTTTCTCACTACACACACCAAAAAAATTAATTCCTAATTAATCTACTCACTACACACACGGTTTATTCCACATCTGCCCTCACACACACACACCCCTCGACCCCAAACCCAGCTCTCTCCCAACGGTGCAAATACACACACCCATTGAAGCTTAAGCTACATCTTCAACCTTGAGGATACATACACCCATTGAAGCTTAAGCTACATCTTCAACCTTGAGGATACACACACCCATTGAAGCTTACCATGTGCAAATACACATACACAGCTTTCATCCCCAAATACACACACACAGCTTTCATCTTCAACCTCTGTCAGTAACAATAAATCACAAACCTCCTGTTGAAATAAATCACAAATGAATTAATCAAAACGTAGAGTTTTGTTTTTATCATTTTGAAAACGGACGAAGGCCCACGGAGTGTAAACAAACCGTTCGGAACTGGTTTGCCGAAATTAATTCATTTGCTCGGAAGTTGGATTCCGAAATTGGTGATTTATTTCAACAGTAGGTTTCCGAAACTTTTTGATTATTTCGGCAATCAACTTCCGAATATATTAAATTCAAACAACAATCAAGTTCCGAAATTAATTTTTTGTTTCGGATTTCAACTTTCGAACAGTATATATACTTTCGGTTTTAAACTTTCGAACAGTGTTTTTCTTTTTTTTCTTTTTTTTTTTCGCTCCCTTCTTATGTATATTCTTTTTACATTTGTGGTAATCTCTTATTGAGTGATAAATAATTTGAGAAAATGTATTAAAATTTTAATTATTGTAACATAATTTATACCTATATGAATCAATCACTCCGTATTGTATTTGAGATCATCTTTTGAAAACTTGTTTGAGCTTCAATGGATACTAACATGGAATTGAAAAATGGTATAGATTTGTTTGGGGATAGAATTAGAGAATTCGAAACTGTAAATTTGGTATACAGTTTGCAAAAAATTTTTTTTACTTCATTCGGAAGTAGTTGTCCGAATTTAGTTTCAACTTTCGGAAGTTGAATGTTGTAAAAGTTAACTTTGTTCGGACAACAACTTCCGAAATTAAATAATTTTTTCGGACAACAACTTGGACAACAACTTCCGAAATTTATTAGTTTGTTCGGACAACAACTTCCAAAAATAAATAATTATTTCGGTAGTAGATTTCCGAACCAAATAACACAATTCGGTTCTGGTTATCCGAACGACGTTGGAAAAAAAAAAAAGAAAAGAAACTCGCATTTCCTTCGCTATGTTTCTCATAAATACTTATTTGCTGATTTTCAGAAGACAAATCCTCCATATCAATAATGAATGAGAAAGAAGCTACGAATAAGAAAGGTTGAAGCTTCAGCTTAAACGTGAAGTCTAGATGTGTGCATTGAGATGAACGTGAAGTCTGGATGTGTGCATTATGATGAATTTGGTTGATGTCTAAAATAGTAATTTCACTTAGGGATAAAATTGTAATAAAATTAAATATTATTAAGTGTGTGTATAGAGGGGATTAGGTGTGTATATATAGAAGCTCCCATAGATCTTGTTCATGGATTATAAATTTAGTTCATGTGACATTTATAACCCTCTATATAAAAAATTGTGAGGCTATTAACAAAGTAGATCAATACAATTATACAATAAACAATAATATTTCCTCATTGAGAAAGTTCTTATCAAAAGCTAACAGGTGGAACAAGGACTACGAGCATCGGTTAGATTTGGTTGTTTTCTTGTAAGATTTTGTCAATGGGGTGGGTCAGCCAAGGTTGATGATTAACACTATCCAGAGTTGAACACAAAGGACGAGTTGAAAACGAATAAGAGAGGAAAAAAAGAGAGACCCATGGGTAAAGAAGAGGAAGAAAGGAATAGAGAGAGAAAGGGAGAAGAATAGTGGAAGGACAGACGAAGGCCCACTTTTCTGATTTTTTTTAGTGAGCGAAATTGATAAAAAAAGGAATGTGATAGAGCGTGAGAGGGGAAGCAACCAGATAATTTCGATTCCAGATACAAGGGTAAAAATGCAAGAAGGGATTCTTTTTTCGTGGCACGATACTGATTATGCGTGGCATTAGTGGCCTCCTTTTTTTATATAGAACTTTATTCACAATTCACAAAATTGATAAATTCCTTATGAAAGTAATACAAACATGTGGATTGTTGAGTTTTAGAATGGTTGCTGATAATTTTAAATGAGTCATGGCCTTCAGTCCGATGATGCTGCTTAATTTATTATGTCCCCCTCGTGCATGATAACAAATTTTTATCTTGTGCTAGATACGATCAACTACAAATAGTCAAACTGATAGATACAATCAATTATTACATGATATATATATACGGTCTGGATTGCCTCCGATCCATATATATATATATATAAGAAGTTGTGATTCACTTGTGCTATGACTGGTCTACATAGTTAGAAAAGTTAATTCAACAGTCCACCATAGTGCATAATAAGTGAAGACAGTAGCTTCATATTGATAATCAGTACACGAAATGGTTCCATTGTTTATAGCACAGCATGAGCATATATCCATTGTTTTCTATAAATTAGATGTCCATCTTAATTTTCAACGGTATCTCTATGAGATTTGACGTATTGTTCTTGCTTAATTTACACATTGTAGACATGAGGGTGCTGCTCACTATGTTCAAAAGGGGTATTAGATTCTGTACATGCACACACACACACACACACACACAACCACCATTTCTGCAGTAGCACCACTCAAAAGATGCTTATTTATGGGCTAGCTAAATATAGTAGTATTCATAAAGGGAAAAGATATGATCACGTGGAAAACTTCGCTCCAAATTAAGTGTAGAGCCAAGAAGAAGATATAGGAACAGAAATTAAACTCAATTCAATGTTTTTAAGCCTGTGGTCTAGTTGGGCCTCTTGTGTTATAATGTGGGCATTTAATTTGGTGCTTTATACATCAATCATTTTCTTTTGTTCCCTGATAATATTCACCATTTGTTGGAAAGGGTCGGTCAAAAAGAGAGCTAAAAGAGAAGAGAATATATACATAATATATATATATATATATATTAAACTATGTCAAAGTTGGTTGCTTACAGCATTGATGTGATTTGAAGAATTTGATCTTGCTTTGTGCCCCCACTTATTCCCAAAGCTCCGTCCATTTATTCTACACCACACCACTCTTATTATAGAGATGTGTGGCTCTGCAGCTAGCTGGCATTATAGTTGAACACATCAAAGAAATTATACTCAATTTATAGAAAGACAGACAAAGACTGAGTGATTGAGTCATAGTTGAGACTTTCTTGATATCTGAAATTTGAGATGAAGAGCTGTGAGGAATGGAACCCTGTATTTGCAATGATAGGGGTTGATTTTGGGTTTGCGATAGCGAACATACTTCTGAAAAAAGTCGTTGATGGTGGAATGAACCATTTGGTCTTCATTACCTACCGCCAGTCAATTTCAACCATCTTTTTAGCCCCAATTGGCTACTTTTCAGAAAGGTGCCTTACTAATCAAGTATTTTCAATCACTCTACTTATTATTTCAGGAGAGTCAAATTTATTGCTTTTTCTTTTCTTCTTATTCAATTTTAACTGAATTTTAATTTTTCTATGTAGTACTTAAGTAAGTAGAAAGATTATATAAACCAAAAGCTTGCTTAATTTGCAGGAACAGCAGACCGAAGCTGACATTTGGTATCTTATGTCATCTTTTCTTGAGTGCAATTGTGGGGTTAGTAATTAAGGGCTTTAATTAATTAATTTGCCAGGGCAGGTAGCTAAAGTTGCCAACTGCTTGTGCTTTAAAATAAATAATACTATATGATGTATTGATTGTTACATATGGACACTTACACATAAAACTTGTAGGGCATCCCTCACGCAGTACTTTTTCCTCCTTGGAATTCAATACACATCTGCTACTTTCTCCTGCGCTTTCATCAACATGGTGCCAGTAGTCACATTTCTCATGGCACTACCATTTGGGTATGTAATCAACAATATATGTAATTCGTACGACCATAAATCGCAATGTTATTCTCTGTCGCTGTTGATTTAATTATTTCAATCACTAACACAACACAAACATACAGGTTGGAGAAAGTGCAGCTAAAAGGCAGTGATAGTGGTAGTAGTGGAGGAAGAGCCAAAGTGGTAGGTGCACTAGTGTGCCTTGGAGGTGCAATGATATTAACCCTTTACAAAGGAATGCCATTATTTAACCATTCACATGAATCATTGTGGCAAGGTGGAGCTGGAAATATAGATCAAGTTCATGATCATGTAATGGTACTGAGCTCGGGGAGAAGGAAAGAGAGATGGACGATCGGTTCAATGGCATTGATGGCTGGTACACTGCTGTGGTCTTCATGGTTCCTTATTCAATCGAATATTGTGAAGAGATACCCATGTCAGTATTCAAGCACGGCCATCATGTCTTTCTTTGCTGCCATTCAATCGACTGTCTTAGCTTTTTCCATAAACAGAAGAAACCTTTCCATTTGGGCTCTCAACGGCAAAATGGAATTCTTAACCGTCTTCTATGCTGTAAGTATTATATATATATCACTCTCCCTACACACCTTTACATTGTATTTAGTTAGGAGATTTTGAGAGAAATTTGAAAAGAGAAAGAAAAAAGATGCGTGAAATTATGTGAAATACAAATATTTTTATTCGTATTTCACCTACCTTTTCTATTTTCCTTTCCAAATCTCTTCTTAAATTTTCCAATCAAACACAACGTTACAGTGTTTTCTTATGGATGATAGGATGACAAACATTAATAAAGTTAGGAAGAAGAATAGTCTCCTGTCAAAATTTGGAGTTGACCACACAGTGCTGTTTGGCGCTATACATTTTGATAATTCAATTTATTTGCGTCACTCATTAAAAAAAATAATAATAATTTGATCTAATAATTAAAGAAAAATTATAATCTTTACAAAAATAAACGAAGAGAATAATTTTAAAACTGAATCATATATTTTTTGAGAAATTAATATATAAAATCATACCATTATTATTCAATTAATTATATTTTTTTCGTCACACATACCGATTAAAAAATAAATAAATCATATTATCAAATTGGAACTTTTGGTAGGTTTCACCCTCCCGAACAACACTCCCTAGTCTATAATGCGGACTGAATGCAAGTCATTCCTTAAATTTGTACCTATGTTTTCTAACTTCTCTCTTTTTCTTTAAACATATATATATATATATATATATAATTCCATAAATTTGTTTCTATGTTTTCTAACTTCTCTCTTTTTCTTTAAACATATATATATATATATATTTATAATTATTTTGTATTAGTATGAAGCTAATTAAATACACGTCAGGAAAGGAAGAACGTTTTTTTATACAGTGTATTTATGTAGTTTTTTGGGTGGGTGGGGTCCATGCTGATCACTTGTTGAAATAAATAAGGTCACTTGTGGGGTAAAGCATAATTTCAAGAACTTTTGAAGCAATAGTTTTAAGTTGTATTTTTTTAAGTAATGCTCGGAATTTTAGATGAATTGTTTAATATTTTATTAAATAATTACTGCGGGTGGTTTTTCTAGCCATGTGAATATTTGATATAATATTTAGTAATTAATATTGATATTTTTATTTTTTTGAGTCCAAAAGAAGAAAATAAATTGAAAGAATACGTTATTCTTACCTATTTATTTACGTCACTTTTATGTTTTCATGTTATCAATATATCTATTTTTCTGTTTACGTGTTATCTTTTTATTTGTTCACGCCTCATCTATCTATCTACTTAATATGTCTATTTGTCTATATCACCGCAACTACCAATAGCTGGTGCCTTCGGCTACCTTTGGCAAATTTTCTGGCTATTTTTTCAACGACTGACCGGCCGTATGACAAAAGTCACTACAAAAAATTAAAGCTTTAGAGACTAAAATTTAGGAACCAAATTATTTTTTAGGGACTAAATAATTTTATTACGAAAAGTGTCGTCATTATATTTTTAGCAATAAAAATTAGACATTAGTGATGAATTATTATCTTTTAAAGATCAAATTTTTTTCTCTAAAAAAATAAACCATTTTGAGACTAAATTATTTTGTCTCTAAAAATCTATTTATAAGTGACATTTTCAATATTTTGTAGCTAAATATGCCTTATTTTTTATTTTTCAGAACGACCTTTTAGCGACTATCATCATGGCGTTGGAAATTAGTTCCTAAATGTCTTTTGCAACAAAATTTTCATTCTTAGAGACCAAACACATTTGGTCTCTAAAACTTTTATATATTGTAGTGAGTGGGTTTAAAATAAAAATGTACGGAAAAAAATATTAAAAAAAAATATTTTTCTTATTAAACAATTTTTCATTAATCATATCTTTATCACAAAAAAAATAAATAAAAAATAATAATGTCAAATCCCTTTAAAAATAAACGTTATCACCAATAAACCCAATAAATAAATAGGAACTGAGCAAATTTTTGTGCTACTAATTAGGGATTAATGTATGTCAATCTATTCTGTTGGAGTATTTTTAATTCACTTTAAATCCCCATTAATATAAACTATTAGCACAGTTAGCAAAATATTAAAATTAATTAATTTTTTTATTTAAAGTTTTCAAATAAATGTGTTAATAATGTTGCTAGTTTTGTCAATAGTTAAAACTGTTATAGGAGTTGTTATGGTATGGTGCATATCATCTGCATTTTGTTAATATTTTGGTGATACATGTTATGTATTTTTTGTTTAATTAAAAAAAAATATTATGCATTTTTTGTGACAAATATTTCGTAATCTTCTAACAAAGTTACAATAATTTGTAATTCAAAAATAAAATTATCCATTTTTATGGTTCAAAAATATTTTGATGAAAAAAATATATAATTTTATTTTTGAATCATAAATTGGCATAACTCTACCTAAAAAATTATGTAACATTTGTCATAAAAGTACATAATATGTTGTACAAAAATGCATAATAAGTTGCATACCATATTTCCCAATTATTATTAATTTTGGAGAGGGTGAACCCTGGGACAGAGAGAAGGGGACGGGGGCAAGGCGAAATGATCAAGGAAAATGTTTGGGCCTCACAAAGGAGGATCTTTACAATCCTCATTGATATATTGATCATTGATGTGTTTAAAATTTTTTTAAGAGTTGTGGCTGACAGTGACATGAATGGTTCAGATCATTTTAAAAATTGTGAAAATTGTGTTTTGTGAGGATTTCTATCGTTATTGAATCATAAAAAGGTCATTGCACAAAAGTCATAAGGCAGACTTGTCCCGTTTGGGAAGATGGTTTTGCCTATTTTAGCTATAAAAGACAAAATAGACTATTTTAACCAGAACAAACAAAACATCACATTCAACCCATAATCATTACACTCTTCTCTCACAAAAAAAAAGTCAAAAAATCAAAAAGTCTTTTCCAAACTAAGTTTTTTAACGCATGCTAAAATAGCCAAAAAATTAAAAAGCCAACTCACTTCCTAAACGACACCCAAAGGACTTTTTCTACTTTATTTTGGGCTTATTTTATTATTTAAATTAGACCATTTTTTAAACAAACAATGGGTGGGCCAAAACTCAGTTTGAAAGTCATTTTTCTCGCCTAAGGTTTGCACTATCTGATGTTTGTTTGATGAAATTAAAGCGTGGATTAGACTCCAAGTCAAACATACTTATTAATCCATTGTTTAGTTAATAAATGAAAGAAAGACTAATAATCAAATATATATCAATTTTAATAAAATAGTCCAAAGACTACTTATCTCAAGCTAATAGTAAATTTCATTGCAATCACTCGTTATTTAGTCTGTCGAAACAAACACTCCATTTAGAGTACTCACATTCTAAATTAATAAATAGGACAAATTACGCCAATAGTTCTATAGTTTGATTCTTCTGTCATTTTGGTCCCTATAATTTTAATTGGCTTGATTTTGACTTTGAATTTATGACTTTGTTGGTCTAATTGACTACAATTGTTAACATTTTCTTGTAGAAAATATAAAAATAAGTGGCATATATCATACTTTTTGGGAAAAAATTATTGATTTGCTTAACTCAGTGAGTTAACCTCAATCACCTCAAATGGTTTTATCAATTGGATCGAATTGATATGAAATCTAAAATTAAGATAAATAAAAGTATAAGAACCAAAATGACGTAAGGGGCAAAAAATAACACAAAATTAAATCTTACTTTTAGCATTTTTAACCCGTTACTGCATTTTAATAGGCAAATTTTATTATTCGATTGGAGATGTTAGTCCATGTTCTTTTTGTTTGCCTTGAGCTTCACTTAAGCCTTTAAATTTTTTCCAAAGTATGACCCCTTTTATTATGTTGTGAAATGTATGGCATTAACTAATGTAAGTAGTAATTAATGAATGGGTAAATGGTGGGGGACGCAGGGGATGGTAGGATCAGGTTTGTGCTATGTGGGGATGTCATGGTGCGTCAAGAAAAGGGGTCCCCTCTTCACTGCTGCATTCAGTCCCCTTGTTCAGATAATGGCAGCCATGGTTGACATTCCCATCCTCCATGAACAGCTTCATCTTGGAAGGTAACCTTTTTTTTAAAAAAAAAAAAAAAAGAAAAAAAAATTAATGTACTACTTTTCAAATATTGATAATGAATAAACATATATATATTACTAAAATTTTGGATGTATTGGTCTTTTGATGAGCAGCTTGGTGGGATCAGTTACTGTAATTGCTGGATTGTACATTCTTCTGTGGGGTAAGAACAAAGAAATGCAAAATTGTGCAACCAAAGTAGCCAGCAAGGATGGAGAGCCACCCTTAGCCTTACAAGTCATCGTCAATTCTATCGATTGTGACTCTCGCCATCCTTGAGCCCCTCTACCGCTCTTAGTTTCATTTGTCATTTTGATTCACTAGAAAAACGCCATTGGGGTTTATCTGTCCTTGTTCTATCTTATATGTACCTGAATTTTATTTCAAAATACTTACGATAAATGTAGTTCATAATTTAAAATATGTAATATTATATTAAGTAGGGTTATGAAGTTTGAAAGCAAAAATATTCTTTTTATTCCCAGAGGACTGGCCATCAAGGCCAAAACTGTCTGGATCATTTGTGCCAGTGAACAGTGCCAAGGTTGTCGAAATTTTAGAATCTGAGTTTACGATGGAAGAATTTTGGAGTGCTGTGAAGGAGTGTAATGGGAACAAAGCGCCTGGACCTTATGGCTTGCGTTCGGAAATGTTGGAAGTATATGAGACATGATTTCTTTCAGCTTATGCAGGAGTTTTACACCACTAATAAGCTAGTGAATGGTTTGAACAGTTCATTTATTACCCTCATCCCTAAGAAGATCAGTCTTAGTGGCTTGGCAAATTATAGGCCAATTAGTTTAATGGGTGTAGCCTAAGATCTTGGCCAAGATCCTGGCTTAAAGACTGAAGAAGGTGTTGCCAGAGGTCATCTGTCACGACCCCAAACCGCCCCTAGTAGTTTGATGCCGTGATGGCCAGTAATCCGTAATTACCGAAGGCCAACTTTCAAAAACTTAATATAATCAGAGTGATAAGGAACGGGGCTCACGATTGCGGAAGAAGTAAATCAAAATACAAGTCGTCCATAAGAGCTGTGCATAGATCAAATGCAATGTCATTCATCTTTACAATTTAAATACAGTAAGCAAAATATGAGTTACAGCTTGATCAAAAGGCTTCTCGAGCCGACATATACAAAATACAATAAATACAAGTCAAGAAGCATGATTTTCAAGATTTGCCGACATGCAATAGCATAAACAAAAGACTTCACAAAGGATTGACAAAAGCTTGGCTCCTCCAAAGACTAAGCACGCCCCATCACGGAGGCACTTCACAAACGGCTTCTCAAAAAGGTAGACTCCCCAAAAGCAACTCTAGACTTGACGATCCACGTGCTCACCTATATATATATATAAGGAAGATGAGTGAGCTGGAGCCCAGTGAGTAATACTGTTGGCACTATAAATCTGTAATTTTTATTATTTATTGTTTATATAATTGCAGGACACGTGGCATCCTCTTATTCATTTGGAAGTTAAAAGAAGTTATAGAGATGATAGAGAATATGAAGGACAAAGTGGATGAGTGGAAGGACACATGGCAAGACAAGAATGAAGATGAAATAAATAGGTAGTTACTAAGTAATTATTGCTGTATTTTTTCCTCTATAAATAGCCATTAATGGCTACATTGTAATGATCCTAGAATTCATAATCAAAGACAATTGATTTCAATATTTCTTGTCATTTTCCTTATCTTAGGAGTAGTTTAACATAGATTTATATTTCGAAGCAGTAGTTTAACTCAGATTTATATTTTGAAGCATTTATTTTCAACATTTCCATTTCGAAGCATTTTATGCACTTCCTTTTCGAAGCATAGGAGTAGAGGTAAGTAATTATTACTTCGATTGTTCACTCAATCATCTTTCTTCGTCCCTCTTTCTACTTTTACTTTTTCTTTTTCTTTTCTCTACACTTGACAATTTTGAAGTCCTCTTCGTTGAGGCAAAAGAATCGTCAACGCAATCACTTGATAATTGGCTTGAATTTAATCTGTAAGGATTTCAATCCTTGTTGGCACGCTCGCAATTACAATAATAACCTTCGAAAGCCAAAAAAGCCAACATATATTTTTGGCACACCCGGTGGGACGTCAAGTGTAATAACTGAAAAATGAATTGGATTTGTCCATTTCAAATAACCTAGATGAAATTTATTAGCGTAAACAAGAAATTTTGGATCTTCAAAAAGAGATTCATTTTCTTGATGAAATAAATTTTCATCCCTTACAATATTATTTGGTGGAAGAACAAAGACACCATTTAATTGGAGAAATTCATCAACTTGATATGGAAATTCGCCAATGGAATGATGAATTATCAACTCTCACTACCAAGTCTTTAACTGAGGCCTTAATGGTCGGAATCAGTGAATTTTTTCAGAATTTTTCCATAGTTAAAAATAGCAAAAGTAAAGAGTTGATTTCATCAATGGCTCGGGGGTTCAAGAGTCCATTTTTAAAGAGCCAAATTATGAAATTAACATAACGAAAGAGCATATTTTTGAGCCAAATTTGGCTAAGAATGATGTTTCATACATGACTCGGGGGTTCCAAAAACCAATTTTTAGAGAGTCAAGTCATGAAAATAACATTCTTATGGGAGATTTTCATAAGCCATTAATGGCTAACATGGAAAAACAACCCACTTTGCCAAAGAATTATGAAAATCAATTCGGTGAAAGTCATGTTTTTAAACCAAACATGGTCAAGAATAATGAACAAGCCACTGTTCATGAATTCAAAATTTTTGAAAGTGTCAAAAAGTAGGGGTGAGCATGGTCCGGATTGGACCGGATTAGGGGTAAAACTAGGACCAATCCGTTATTTACGGTTCCTGAAAAATTGAAACCAATCCAATCCGTTTAAATCATGAAACCAATCCGAACCAATCCATTTAAACACGGATTGGATCGGTTTAGGACTACGGATTCACATAATTAAATAACAAAAAAATGTATATATAACACTTTAATTTCATAAGAACATAAACATAGCGCTATATTAGTTCCACAATAGCAACATGTCTTTCTATAATAGCGACATACTGTTCTAGAATTTAAACAACTATAAGAAAATTGGTTTCACCATAAGTATTTAAACCATTACAAATTAAAACTAAAAACTAACAAACAAAAGTTATAAAAGAAGATATTATGCGGGTTTAGGTTTGAGTTTAGGTTTTATATGGAATAAGAGAAGATACTATGGGGAGGATGTATAATAAAAATATAGACTATTTGTATACGGTTCGGATCGGTTCCAATCCGAAACCGTGGAGTTCAATCCGGAACCAATCCGTGGACTATGGATTTTTAATTGTTCAATCCGGAACCGAACCACGGATTCAAAAAATCAATCCAAACCTATCGGATTGGACTGGACTGGATCGGATTACGGATTTCACGGATTCCTTGCTCAGCCCTATCAAAAAGTATGAATTTTTATGGTCGCGCTATACCATGATTTTTGTTGTTCAAAATCTATTTTGGATTTGTGAATCACATCAAACGTTGACTTTGATGGAATGGCTAGCAAATAATATTTCATTATTGAAATATATTGGGCCAAAAATATGGTTGATCCATAAAGCCATCATCATTTGGTTTTGTGGTTACCTTCGAAATATGTCCCAAGACACTTCAAAGCATGTTATTCATTGAAATATCATTTTATAGCCATTAATGGCTTGTTAAAATGCCAAACTAATTTCATAATAATCCAACTCTTTGGATTTAGTTCGAAGAGATGTCGTGAGCACTTTCGAATGACGACTTTGATCCTTTAGTAATATATGTGACTTTCGAATGGTGGTTTTATTATCAATAAACACCTTCGAAATGTAACATGGGGCGAGAAAACTTTCGAAATGTGTACTTCTCTTCAAATATATGTAAAATAGCAATTAATTAGTTGTCGAATAATGCCTATTTTTGGCATAATAAGTTGGTTCAAAGAACAACAGTTTTGGTGTCTTCAAAGAATTAATAATTGGTTCGAAGCACAAAATTAATATTTTCATTAATTATGTGTGAACCAGAACATATAAGATTTGAATAACCACAATGTTGGCCAAAAACAGCTTTGAAAGTCGTTTTGCCATAAGTTGCTTCGAAAGCCGTTTTGCCATAATTTTGTAAGCTTCGAAGCACTCTATCTGGTATTAACAACAGCTTCGAAGAAATAATAATGGTGGTTGTGAGGATGTAATTCGTCCTTTGTCGGCTCCATCGACCTTCGAAGAATGATTTTGGTCCTTTATGCCACTTTCGAAGCTTGTTACTAGTCATAATTCGAGTCATCTAGTCATGATTTCATACTCATTCGAAACACTTTATTGGTGCTATTATATCATTCGAAACACTTTATTGACATTATTCGAAGCACTTTATTGCTTAGATTAGTCATGTGTTTGGTTCGGCCCTTCAAAAATTCAAGTAAACATCATTTTTAAGGGCCGCGGGGGGTAATGTTGGCACCATAAATCTGCAATTTTTATTATTTATTGTTTATATAATTGCAGAACACGTGGCATCCTCTTATTCATTTTGAAGTTAAAAGAAGTTATAGAGATGATGGAGAATATGAAGGACAAAGTGGATGAGTGGGAGGACACATGGCAAGACAATAATGAAGATGGAAGAAATGGGTAAGTAGTTATTGTTGTATTTTTTCCTCTATAAATAGCCATTAATGGCTACATTGTAATGATCCGAGAATTCATAATCAAAGATAATTGATTTCAATATTTCTTGTCATTTTCCTTATCTTAGGAGTAGTTTAACATAGATTTATATTTCGAAGCAGTAATTTAACATAGATTTATATTTCAAAGCATTTATTTTCAGCATTTCCATTTCGAAGCATTTTATGTACTTCCTTTTCGAAGCATAAGAGTAGAGGTAAGTAATTATTATTTCGATTGTTCACTCAATCATCTTTCTTCGTCCCTCTTTCTACTTTTACTTTTTCTTTTTCTTTTCTCTACACTTGACAATTTTGAAGTCCTCTTCGTTGAGGCAAAAGAACCGTCAACGCAATCGCTTGATAATTGACTTGAATTTAATCTGTAAGGATTTCAATCCTTGCCGGCACGCTCGCAATTGCAATAATAACCTTCGAAAGCTAAAAAAGCCAACAAATACCAAAATAAAGAGGTTAATGAATGAAGTCTATCACAATATAAAACATGTCTTATGTTCCAAATGAATCATATATCGAATTCAAACAAAGCATTTGCCATATCGAAAGCTATTATCAAAACATCATACGTGAATAGAGTAACATAGGGGCCAAAAAGGCCTATATCAAAGGGATCATCTAGGTCTAGCGAAGGGACTGCTCAGGTCAAATATCAGAGATCTCTGTAATTCCAATAATCGAAGGGCCATGGTATTGTGTCTCCCAAGCAAGAGCCTCATTAAAAGATGTCACGAATACATTTCAAAAAAGACATTCATTCATTCATATATA